AGACATTCATCCTGCGTTACACTGTTTCTGTTTAAATGTGTGAACTGAATGGCTTATCTCTACTTTTGAAGTCATTGCTTATGTTACCCAAGTTTAGCGGGGAGGAGGGAATATTGTAGTTTGGATATTGGATCTGAGAATATTTAGGTCAAAACATTTTTGGGGACCTTCTTGCAAATCCTGTAGAGTCCCCACAGTACTGTTACCTCCAGAACCAACTGGATAAATCAGGACTGAACAGAGGCCGGTGAGAAGGTAAGGACGGAGGACTGTCTTCCTTCTGAGGGATCTTGCAAAGAAAATTCACCCTAGGCTTGGGATTGGCAGAAGGCAAAATTTGAAGGCCTGAACTAGCTCTATTTGTGGTTCTAGAACGGAGCACTATCTCATTTCACAAACCAGATCATAGGTTCCTGGGCTGAGCACAAAAGTTGCTGTTAGGGACAGAAAGAGCTGAAGAAAGCAGAAACAAAGTATCTCAGTATTTCAAAGTTAGTTTCTTGTGCTGGGCCCATGGGGCTCCCACCTGTAATCCTAGCTACTTAGAATTATGCAATCTGAGGATTGTGGTTTCACAGTGCAAAACCAGTCTAGACAGAAAAGTCCATGAGACTCCTACCTTCCATTAACAACCAAAAATCTGGGAGTGGAGGTATGGCTCATGGCAGCCTAGAACAAAGAAATCTAAGGGACAGCATATAGGCCCTGAGTTCAAGGATGAGTAACAACACAAAAAGAAAGAAAAGAAGCCAGGCACTGGTTGCTCACACCTGTAATCCTAGCTACTCAGGAGGCTGAGATCTGAGGATCACGGATCAAGGTTTACATCCAGCTGTGGGACTCTTATCTTCAATCCACCACTCAAAAACTAGAAGTGACACTGTAGTTTAAGTGGTAGCGCACTAGCCTTGAGCACAAAGAGGCTTAGGGACAGTGCCCAGCCCTGAGTAAGAAAAGACAGAGGAAGGAAGGAAGGAAGGAAGGAAGGAAGGAAGGAAGGAAGGAAGGAAGGAAGGAAGGAAGGGAGGGAGGGAGGGAGGGAGGGAGGGAGGGAGGGAGGGAGGGGAGGAAAGGAGGGAGGGAGGGAGGGAGGGAGGGGAGGGAGGGAGGGAGCGAGGAAGGAAGGAAGGAAGGAAAATAGCTTTTTAGTTAATAATGAGTTACTGTTGTTTTAGTATGGATAGAAAAGATAAGATTAGCAAGTCTATCTGGGGAACCTGTCTTCTTTATCTTTCTTTATTTTGGGGAATGTGAAGTGAACAACTTAGTGTCCATTCAATGGCATGAAACTTTAATATTCATGACCTCACTTTACTTATTAATTTGCTGTAGTGTTATTTACGGAGGTGATGTACAATGGAATTACAATTACCTCAGCATTTCCTTTCATGCGGTGTCTTCTGTTCCCTCCTTCTCTCCCAGTCCCTCCTTCCATCTCCCCACGAGATTCATAGTTCCCTTTATCAGTGTCCAGTGAGCTTCGCTGCTGCACTTCATCTTTCCCCCAGTTCTGTACCTCCTCCACCCTTCCAATGATAGATGCTTGAATATACACTTGAATATACCATCCATAAGGGGAAGAAGACAGAATCATCAAAAACTTTAAAAAAAGAAAAAGGAGAAAAAGAGGTCCCTTGTTTCCATATCCTGGGATCTGTGTGAGTGTGTATATTAATTTCTATATAACTATGAAGAGGCGGTAGACATTGTGTTTTGTGCTTCTCTCCTGAGAATCCTCTTTGGGTCTCACTGTGTGTGAGTGTCTAGAATCCTGTATCTTTTATGATATTCCAGTGTGTGATAGAAAGTGACCCCATTTTTATCTTTTTTATCCTGATCTCTTGGGGGCTCAGTGTAGGAGCCTCATCCAAAACAATAACCTCCTGCCGTGCCTCATTTAACAGTTCCGAGAGCAGCTGTAAACTAGGTCGGGTGGCTCACGAAGCCCTGACCCCCGCTCTAGAGGCAAAGGCAGGAGGACCAGGTGGTGAGGGCTGAGGGAGAGCCCAAAGTGCAAAGCCCTGGGCTCAATCTCTAGCACCCCAAAAAAGAAACAAAGAAACATGAAACAAAGAAAGCCAAACCAATACACAGAAAGCCATAGCGAGCAGCCTGCTTCACTGGCCTTCTCCATCATCTCAGCCCGGAAAGCGCAAGCGCGGCCATGGGACCCTTATCCCGCCAGCCACCAGGCAGAGCATGAGCTCGCCACTCACTCCTAGACCTATGCTCCATCTCCCTTCCTACGTGTCTTCTCGTTCATTTCAAATTTATCTTGTCCCTGAACCCACCTTCCCCCTTCCATATGGCCCGTTCATCTCAAGCCACGTACTATGACAGAAGTTAATGTCTGCTGGCTTTCACATCTACGTCATCACACACACACAAATCTGAGACAGTGTTAGTGCCCTGTTACTCTTCAGATAAGGAAAGGGATTCATTAAGAAATGATCATTAGGAAATGATGGGATTGCTAGGTACTAGTGGCTCACACCTGTAATCCCAGCTACTCTGGAGGCTCAGATCTGAGGATCATGTTCAAAGCCAGACCCGGAACAGCACCAGGCCCTGAGTTCAAGCCCCATGACCAAAGGAAGGAGGAGGAGGAGGAGGAGGAGGAGGAGGAGGAGGAGGAGGAGGAGGAGGAGGAGGAGGAGGAGGAGGAGGAGGAGGAGGAGGAGGAGGAGGAGGAGGAGGGAAGAAGAGGGAAGAAGAAGAAGAAGAAGAAGAAGAAGAAGAAGAAGAAGAAGAAGAAGAAGAAGAAGAAGAAGAAGAAGAAGAAGAAGAAGAAAGGGAGGGAGAAAGAAAGAAAGAGAGAGAGAAAGGGAGGGAGGGAGGGAGGGAAGGAGAGAAAGAGGGAAGGAGGGAAGGAGGGAAGAAGGGAGGGAGGGAGGAACTTTCCCAGGACCCCTCAACCAACAGGAGGCAGGGATGAAATCCAGTCCTAGATGAGTCCCAGAAACCACAGTCCCTTTCTGCACACTTTTCCAGGATTCTCTTCTATTAAAAACAAAAATGGACCAAGAAAATTTTTTTTTGGGGGGGGGGGGCGGTCGTGGGGCTTGAACTTGCCTGGCCTTGAACCTGCCCAACCCAACGGCTCCCTCCCTCACACACAACATCGTTCAACACTCAAGCCCCAAGTGGCTGGGGGTGTGGCTCCGGAGGTAGAGTGCTAGGCTCTGAGTTCAAATCTCAATTCCACCAAAAAGAATCCAAATGTCCCTTCCTCTGTTCCTCCCAGACACGTCTTTACCGCTTTTCTGCTCCCCTGTGGGAGACACCCAGATGTGAGTCATAGTGAGTCACGTTAAATCACAGCACAGCAAAACTCTTTCTTCCACTGGGTGCTGGCGGTTCACGCCTGGGAGCCTAGCTACTGTCCATGGGTCCAGTTTCCTCTGGGAGTCTTCCAATGTATTCCTCATGGATAAGAAGAGGCTACTGTCGATTTTTTTTCTATTCTTCTCTGTCTTTCGTTCTTTGGGCGAGGCTGAGGTTTGGACTCAGGGCCTCGCACTTGCTAGTCAGGCACTCTGCCCCTTGAGCCATGACCTCCAGCCCTGTGCTCCTGTTTTTATTTCATTTTTGTCAGTCATGGGCTTGAACTCAAAGCCTGGGCATTGTCCTTGAGCATTTTTGCTCAAAGCTAATGCTCTAGCCCTTGGAGCCATAGCTCTGCTTACAGTTTGGGGGCAGTTAGTTGGACATAAGAGTCTCAAGGATAGGCTGGGAAATTGGCTCAGTGGTAGATTGCTTGCCTTGCATGCATGAGGTCCTGGGTTCGATTCCTCAGCACCACATAAGCAAAAAGAAAAAAAGCCAGAAGCGGTGCTGTGGCTCAAGTGGTAGAGTGCTCGCCTTGAGCTGAAGAGCTGAGGGACAGCGCCCAGGCCCAGAGTTCAGGCCTCATGACCAGACCAAAAAAAAAAAAAGAGTCTCAAGGACTTTCCTGCCTGGGGTAGCTTCAAGCCAGGATCCTCAGATCTCAGCCTCCAGAGTGGCTGGAATTACAGGGGTGAGCCACCAGCACCCAGCTTGGTCCCTGCTTAAGCCTCAAGGCTAAAGTTACTACTAAGTTCAAAACCTTCACAAGTCCTCCCCTGTGGCTTGGTGATGCTAAGGTCACACTGACCTCTAAGCACCTTGTTGTCTTGTTACGCTGGCCTGATCTCCAGCCCGTCAGCCAGTCAAAGCCCTCTCCAGGCTTCATTTCTTTATCCTGCATCTCGCTGAAGAGCAGCCAAGAGCAGCCGTGGCCTCTCACCCCGATGACACCAAAAGCACTTAGCCTGCAGGTTCTGAAACACTGCTGGGCATTTCAATGACAGCTGTCTGTAATGAAAGTGTGTGTGTGTGTGTGTGTGTGTGTGTGTGTGTGTGTGTGTGTGTCCTGGGACTTAAAGTCAGGCTGGCACTCTGCCATTTGAGGCTCAACTCCATCTCCAGCTTTTTGCTGGCTAGTTGGAGATCAGAGTCTTACAGACTTTCCTACTTGGGCTGGCTTGGAACCGTGATCCTCTGATCTCAGCCTCCAGAGTAGCCAGGATTACAGGCCTGGCTCAGGAATGTCTTTTGAGGGCAGATATTCGAAGACTTTAGCCTAGAGCTATGCGCATAATCTGTGCTAGGTAAATATTGGGACTACCTGGGCTACAGCCTCCTTGATCTGTCACAAGATAAAAGAGACAGCACACACCTTTCCCCCCAAGGACCCCACCCTCCCTCCAGCCCTTTTCTCCTTGGGGACAGTTTTGTCTCAGGGAACAGAGTCCCCACCTGTCCCTCCTCCCCACACCTCTCCAGGTGTGACAGGTGAAGTGCCCTTGGCTCCACCCCCTCTCGAGTCCCCCAAACCCAGAGCATTCCAAGCTCCTGCAGGCCCTGCGGGAGTCACCTTAACAGCACCTGGCAACTACAACACAAGGGGCCCGGCCCCGGCTTCCCAGCCCAGCCATGGCCCCGGCCGATGCCTCCCTGAGCCGCACACAGCTCCTCACCTCCGCCCCGAGGGCCGCCCTGCTCCTCAGCCTGGTCTTCACCCTCCACTCAGCGCGCTGGGCAGGTAGCGTTGTGAGCTTTATTCTCGGCCGCTGGGAAGGGGGAGACGCAGGGAGGGGGCGGATTCCTTGGCCTGGGCTGGTCCTGCAGAGGGAAGAGGAAACAATCTTCGGGTCTGAAGGATTAAGCAGGGAGGGAGTGCGTTGGGCCAGCTCAAGACAAAGACCAAAAATACCCAGCAGCCGCTGCACCGGACCGAAAGAGCCACCTCTTCAGCTTTTGCCACAAATAATAGTGATTATTATTATACTATAATAATAACTATATTATGTATTATATGATATGATGTTTACATACTGTACAACTATATTAATATGTTAATATGTAATCATTATTATTATTATTATTGCCAGTGCCTGTAATACTAGCTGCTCAGGAGGTTGAGATCTAAGAACTGAAGTTCAAAGACAGCCTGGGCAGAAAAGTCTGAGAGACTCTATCTCCAGTTAACCACCAAAAAGCCAGAAGTGGAGCTGTGGCTCAAGTGGTAGAGCGCCATTGAATAGAAAAAAACAAAGCCCAGAGATAGTAACCAGGCCCTGAGTTCAAGCCCCACTACAGTCACACACACACACACACACACACAAATCATACAAATACGACTGCGACTAATTTACCAGAATCTTCCTCTGTGGGGACTAAATTGGTCTACAGCGACAGGATTTGGCCTGCGGCTTCCTGGCAGCTGGGGGCTCTCTCTGTCCTCTGGGTCCTTGCTCTTGATCCTTCCCTTTCTTCCCTTCAGCCCTCATCCTCCCAACCCCGACCTCCTCTCCTTCCACAGGCTGGATGGCCTGTTCAATGTCCACCCCTCTCAGGCCTCCCCGGGGCTTGGGAAATGTGGGACTTTCACCCCACTGCCTCCTGAGGCCCAGGGAGAACCCTGGAGAGGGATTTTGCTTATGTAGCCTTGCCTCTGGTTTGATCTTGTCCTGCCCTGTCTCTGAGACTGTCTGCCCTGCTCCTACGTACTCCCCCTCCCAAGCCACCCCTTCCCCCCAAATCCATGTGTCTCCAGTATCCTCAGAGTCTCCCCTGTAACTACTGCCAGGAGACTGAGGAGGCCCTTGGGTCCCCCAAGCCACCAAGCTCCCTGCAGCATCTACAACCTCCAAGCTGTGTGACCTTGAAGAAATGACTTCAGGTCTCTGTGCCCCAGGATCCTTGGTTACCACCTAAGAATAAACAGAGTGCTGATTTATAGGGTTACTGGTAAAGAAGAACAAGATGTTTGCTTATAAAGAACTTACGGTTAAAGCCAGGCCTGGGTGGCTTAAGCCAGGCATGAGTGGCTCACACTTGTAATCCTAGCTACTCTGGAGGCTGAGATGTGAGGATCACAGTTTGAAGTCAGCCTGAGCAGGCATGTTTGTGATAATCTTACCTCCAATAACCACAAAGATCCTGAAGTGGATCTATGGCTCAAGTGGTAGAGAGGTAGCCTTGAGCACAAATGCTCAGGGACGGTGCCCAGGTCTAGAGTCAGGCCTTAGGACTGGCAACACACACACACACACACACACACACACACACAACTTAAAATAACATAGCAAGGGGTCAACAGGCAATATGGCAATTATGATTAGCACACACGTCTTCCCATCGTCATCTCCCCCACCAATTAAAGGTGTTTTGGGGTTTTTTGGTTTGGGTTTTTTTTTCTAATGCCTGGGTAATGACGGAGACTCAGAATTTTGGAGGGAGAGTGTGTGAGTGTTTGGGAATTTTCACCTGCGCTGTTCAGGCGGGAAGCACACAGCTGTAGAATGGCTTGTGACTTTTAAAGATGGCATTTCCAAGTGATTTTTTTTTGCCTCATTCCAACATCTATTCACCTAAGCATTTTTCCAGGGAAACCAGCCCCACTCTAGGAGTAGAGGAGAGATGAAAGTCAAGGCCCCCAGGGAGTTGCTTGGTGTTGAAGGAAAATAAATGCTGTGGAATCTACTTCTCTGAAACAAAGACAGGGCTCTAAGCCACATTTAGTTGTCAATAATTAACAGCAACAAGCAGATTGCATCAAGGCAATTAGCATACCTGAAGCAGTGGCTTGGGGATTGGATGGCCTAAGATTTGTCTGGGCTGCAGTTTCCTGGCTTTGGCTAAACAACAACTTGCTTCCTTCGCGGCCTGACCAGATTCTCTGAAGGACATGCTGACCCTCAAGCCATAGGCAGTGTATTGATTGATTGATTGCCTGATTGATTTCCCCAAAGAAGCAAACTGAACTACAATACAATTTCTAGAAAGTTCTTCAAAATCAATCTCTCGGTTTGGATCTACCTAGACTAACATTTGTGCAGATAAAAGGACATGCAGCTCAGGTTGACCTAGAACTGGAGACTCTCCCGTCTCTGCCTCCGAGTACTGGAATTACAAGCCTGCACCACTATGCCCAGCTAGTAGCAGAATGTTCCAACAGGGTGCTTCCAATATGGTAACCACTACTAGCTACATATGATGGCTTTCTGCTCCATGTTTAGGAACCAAGGGACAAGCCTAAGTATTGTGTAGTCTGACCATCTTTTGCCTGTGTGATTTATAATTTTTTTTTTTGGTCCGTTCGTGGGGCCTGAACTCTGGGCCTGGGCGCTGTCCCTCAGCTCTTCAGCTCAAGGCTAGCGCTCTACCACTTGAGCCACAGCGCCACTTTCCGGTTTTTTTCTTTTTTGCTTATGTGGTGTTGAGGAATCGAGCCCAGGGCCTCATGCATGCAAGGCAAGCGCTCTACCACTGAGTCACCTTCCCAACCCAAGTGATATATAATTTTTGTGGATGACCATACTCACAGGCCAAGAACTAATGGCTCACACCTGTGATCCTAGCTACTCAGGAGGCTGAGATCTGAGGATCAGGGTTGTAAGCCAGACTCTTAACCTTTCAATAATCAACAAAAAACCAGAAGTGGAGGTGTGGTTCAAGTGGTAGAACACCAGCCTTGAGCAGAAAAGCTAAGGAAGAGTACAGGAACCTGAGTTCAAGTTGGCACACCAAAAAAAAAAAAAAAGAATCCTGGTTGGATTTCAATGTTTCTTTGTTCCAGTGTGGGAAAGAAATTGAAGATCATATGAAGTAATATTTCAGAGTTTCCAGTGATTGTTTCAGTAGATACTGAAAGGAACGTTCTATAGCTATTTCTATCTGCAATAGAGAACCCTAAACAACTGGTAACCCTCTGCAGTAGGTCCCTGATCACTAGAAGAAAATGGAAAGCCAACACAGAGCCTCTCTGAATGCTGGGAATGTGGTAAGAAATCAGCAGTCGCTGACTCTTTTCCCTAAAACAAATGCCACAGTGGGGTAGGGGGCTGAACATTTATTTTCCCATAGTCTGAAGGCTGGAAGTCAGTCAAGGTCAAGGCTGCTAAGGCTTGTTTTCTCCCAGGAGCTCCCTCTGTAGGTTGCAGACAGCTTCTTGTTCCCTCATTCTATGTTCTCACAGGGCCTGTCGCTGAGCCCGTGCATTGTGGGTATATCTTCTTCCTCCTAGGAGGGCACTAGTCACTCACCCATATGACCTCATTTGACTTAAATCTCTTTTTTTTTTTTTTTTGAGGGTTGTGGGGCTTGAACTCGGGGCCTGGGTGCTGTCCCTGAGCTCTTTTTGCTCAAGGCTCCCTAGCGCTCTATCACTTGAACCACACAAGGCTCCACGTTAGGTTTCCTATTGGTTGATTAGAGATAAGAGTCTCACACAGAGTCCCTTGCCTGCATTAGCTTTGAACCATGATCCTCAGACCTCAGCCTCCTGAGTAGCTAGGAGCCACCAGCCTCCAACTTCAACATATTTTTAAAGGCTCTGTTTCCAAATGCACTCACACTGCGGGCTAGGATTTCAACACATAAATGGAGATGCATAATAAATCTCATGGCGGGAGTTAGCACTGCTTCATAAAGTTGGACATACTTGTCGTAGCATTTCTATTGGACCTGCATAACACTGCTGACATAAACAGAGTTGCAGGCTCCACACCTGGAAACAGCTTCCGTCTGCCTGACAGCCTCCTCTGTCTTTTCTTTCAGAAGCCAGCAGTAGCAGCAACTTGACCTTGACTGCCCACCACCCAGACCCCGAGACCCTGGAACAATGCCCCAGTAAGCTGCCCCTGCCAACTGCTCACCCCAGAGCACCCTGCTTCAGCTCTGCATTGCTTGCACAAACTCTTGGCTTTCATCAGAATCCAGACTTGTGATCTCTGGCAGGAACAGATTCAGTGACCCCAGTCCCTGCTCAGGTGGGGTGCAGAAGCTCTGGAAAAGCTTGGAGATGAAAGTCCATAAAGATCAGCCTGCCTGACTTCTGCCCAAGGCAGGACCTTGGCTTTGATGCCCTGTAGATGTTTATGATCATTCCATACTTGAAGCTTTCCAGGGGTGAGGAGCTCAGAAATCCCTACCCAGCCATGGCTACCTGTTAATCAATATTGGTTTTAAGTCTGGTCCCTCATCAAAGGACCAAAGGTATTTACTTTTGGGCTTTTATAAAGAAACGCAATAGACTAGGTGTTGTTGACACAAGCCTATAATCCTAGCTTCTCAGGAGGCTGAGATCAGAGGATTGAAGTTGGAAGCCAGTTCAAGCAGGAAAATCCATGATGGCCTTATTTCCAGTTAACCAACAAAAAGCCAGAAGTGGCTCACTGGTAGAACGCCAGCCTTGATTGAAAAACAAAAACAACTGAGTACATGTAGGCTCAGAGTTCAAGCTCCAGTACTAGCATTAAAAAAAAAAAAAAAAGCAATAATGTATAGAGGCTGAGAATGTGGCTTTAGAGTTTTACAAACTGAGGTTTAAGTTTTTCTCATTGTACTTAGCAGATAGCTAGCTGGAGGTGTAGCATGTAGCTCAGGGGCGCATGCATGTTTGAGGCTCTGGGTTCAGTCCCTAACACCAAAATCAACATAATATCATCATCATCATTGCTACCTTGTGAGAAATACTTAAAGTACCGTTCAGGGCACTTAGCATAGTAGCAAGTGCTTGTTCGTTCAGCTGTCATGTTGCTGATGCTCTTA